GTCAGCATGGCGTGGCTCTGCCCCGGCCACGCCCCCTTTCTAGAACCTACCAGCGGGTTGCTGGTGTGCCCCTTCTGTGACCTTTCCCATAGATTCCCCCCCCTGGTGTATAACCTGGTCTGCTGACGTCAGGGCTGCCAAAGCAGCAGATCTTTTCCCTGCCAGCAGCCAGCGCTATGCTGCTACAATACTATTTATCTATGCCACTACACATGTGTAATGACAGGGTGACACCTGCTGGCCTAGAAGGGGAATCACGGGTACGGTTAAGAAACAACCAATCAGAGAAAGTGTATCTGGGGCAAAGGTAAAAGGTGGGGTTAGCTGAGAAACTCCTGGAACCTGCTTGAAGGTTCCACGAGAGCGCGTGGCCGAAGCCACGCCTACGGGGATATAAGGGGAGCGGACCCAGGGATCGAAGCTCGTGTGTGGAGTCTTGGGTCCTGGCTGCGTCGCTGCTCGCCGACATCTCTCTCCATCGTCCGGCCGCGTGAAAGATCTCCTGCGTGGTTTCCATCGTTGTCATCGTCATGCCGCCAGCCAGTGAGGGCGATGGGACCACGCCGAGTGAGCGGCTGTGTGTAGCCAGTAGAGACATTAATACCTAGTGTTGTACTCAGTGTGAGGAAGAATAAGTGTTGGCCTGTGTTGTGCCCAGTGTGAGTAATAATGAAGAACTACCCTCTACACAACGTGTCGCGGAAGTCCCTCATTACACATGTATACGCGCGTGTGTGTGTGTGTGTGCACGTAGGGTGGAGACTTCACCCAGAATAATGGCATGGTGGCTTGTCCATCGATGGCAGGACGTTCCGCAACGAGAACTTCATACTCAAGCACACAGGGCCCGGGAAGCAGCATGCGCTAACACACACCAACTTACATGCGCTCATCACGGTAATACACACCTTCGTATGCACCAATACGCGCGTGCTACTGAACACATTAACACACATGGTATAACACGTCGGCTTTCGCGACCAATATTCATAATGAAGGTTTTTGGGTTAGATCGCGTGAGTATAAATGTGTCGTTACCCTCCACCACCCGACACACCCAATAAGTAAGGGATTTGCCACGTAAACAAACGTCAATTACATCTAGCATCATCAATGCTGCTGGACGTAATTACCAGCGAAACGTCGTACTCAAATTTTAAATGTTGTGGATTTACTCTGCAACACACCAGTGGGCTTAAGTAGTAACTAATTGGCGTTTGTTTACGTGACAATCCCTTACTAATTGGCTGTGGCGGATGGTGCAGGATTACGACACATTTATACTTATGCAATCTAACCTAAAAACCTTAATGAACATTGACACACTAGAAGGGAAGTAATAAAATAATAAAAATGAAACACAATAAAATAATTCTCACGACGTTTCGGCCACAACGCAAGCAGCCGTCCTCAGGTGAAAACCAGGTCCGTCGAGGCGACAGAAACTGAATGAAACAGCACACGAGCTTGGAGCATATATATAAGCTGGGCGCCTTGACAAAGGAATTTGCATATCAAGAGGAATTTAGCATATTTATGGGAAATGCAGGAATGTGATTAGTACTACATATGCATGTGCATTATGCAGGATTAACAGCATCAAAGGGAGCTGCAGTTTGTTGCTGCTGCAGTTGCTGCTGCAGTTGCTGCTGCTGCTGCAGTTGCTGCCTTATCCAATTTAATATAACATTATGTATTATTCTACCCACCCTAATGTGTATCACACTGCTATATATTTACTATACAATTACGACACCATACATTACTCTGCACACTGCACCAAGCATACAAATGCCACACTATCTGCCACTATACACTGTACCATTGACCGTCGTGTCAATGGGTGAGTGGTGGTAGGAAACTTGCAGCGGAGCAAAGAATCCATTCCCTGCGGAGAATACAATGCCAGTGAGTGGAACGCGGTCTGAAAGTCACCGTAAACGTGAACACAATCAGTTAAGATCCGAAATGGTTTATTTCGTCCTTCCAATGATTGCTAAGCCAGAATCCATCTCGGTTGAAATTGTCTCTGTGTTTGTGTAACGGGTTCCGGAGACACTTGTAGATGTAACTTCTTTATTACAATACAACACTCCAACAGTCCTGGTACTCTGCTACAGCTTAGGTACACAGCCTAGCTACACAGCCTAGATACTCTACTCTGGCTACGCTCCGGAACTCGCCCTCACAAGGTCGTAGCGTCGGGAGTTCCAGAGTCCCAGCGCTGGCTCTCACAGCATCCCAGGGTCTTCAGATGGCTGGTCGTGGGTCTTGGGTCTTGAGTTACAACTGGGCCCCGATCGTCCAGGGAGCTCTCCTTTTATGCCTGGTCCAACGAGGGGTGGGGCCGTGTGCGCCACCAGACATCCCACAGAGCACACACAGCCCCCCCCCCGTTGGCGGCGCCCAGAGGCTTAAGCGTCTGGACCCCCTGGGAACCCAGCGCCTGGCGCCCAGGGGATTACGCGTCTGGACCCACCTGGGAACCCAGAGCCTACAGCAGCCCCTCCCTTCTTATGTCACTACATTTGTATATGTGGATCGCCTCATGAATGAATCTCTCATGATAGCCAGATGGCTTGCAGAGAACCTCTGTCTTGGAGAAGTCAATGTCATGTGAGCCCACTGAATTGTAACAGTGATCTGCCACGGCTGAGGTGTTTGTCCTACCGTGTTTCAGGTCTGCTTTATGCTCACGGATGCGGTCCGAGACATGCCGTTTGGTTTCTCCAATGTAACTGCTACCACAGAGGCAACTTAGTTTGTAGTAGTAGCAGTTACATTGGAGAAACCAAACGGCATGTCTCGGACCGCATCCATGAACATAAAGCAGACCTGAAACACGGTAGGACAAACACCTCAGCCGTGGCAGATCACTGTTACAATTCAGTGGGCTCACATGACATTGACTTCTCCAAGACAGAGGTTCTCTGCAAGCCATCTGGCTATCATGAGAGATTTGTTCATGAGGCGATCCACATATACAAACACAGAGACAATTTCAACCGAGAAGATGGATTCTGGCTTAGCAATCATTGGAAGGACGAAATAAACCATTTTGGATCTTAACTGGTTGTGTTCACGTTTACGGTGACTTTCAGACCGCGTTCCACTCACTGGCATTGTATTCTCCGCAGGGAATGGATTCTTTGCTCCGCTGCAAGTTTCCTACCACCACTCACCCATTGACACGACGGTCAATGGTACAGTGTATAGTGGCAGATAGTGTGGCATTTGTATGCTTGGTGCAGTGTGCAGAGTAATGTATGGTGTCGTAATTGTATAGTAAATATATAGCAGTGTGATACACATTAGGGTGGGTAGAATAATACATGTTATATTAAAATGGATAAGGCAGCAACTGCAGCAGCAGCAGCAGCAGCAGCAACTGCAGCAGCAGCAACTGCAGCAGCAGCAACTGCAGCAGCAGCATCAACTGCAGCAGCAACAAACTGCAGCTCCCTTTGATGCTGTTAATCCTGCATAATGCACATGCATATGTAGTACTAATCACATTCCTGCATTTCCCATAAATATGCTAAATTCCTCTTGATATGCAAATTCCTTTGTCAAGGCGCCCAGCTTATATATATGCTCCAAGCTCGTGTGCTGTTTCATTCAGTTTCTGTCGCCTCGACGGGCCTGGTTTTCACCTGAGGACGGCTGCTTGCGTTGTGGCCGAAACGTCGTGAGAATTATTTTATTGTTTTTATTTTTATTATTTTATTACTTCCCTTTTACGTGACTTTACCGAAAGAACCAAGAAGATGAATCCCTGCAGTCACGAAAGCTTTAAATCGAAATTGACACACTAATATACAGTGTACGTGTGTGTGTCTAGAATGTTGTGTGTATATATATTTAATTCTGTCTGTGCATGTAGGGAGCGATAGTGCAGTGGTTAGCGCACTGTACTACGAATCTCGAGTTCGATTCCCGCTCATGGCCAACATCAGTGGTAGCGAATATGTGAATATTCCAGGGCATCCTCTAGGTCAACTAAGCCTTCAATGAGGGGCTGATGCAGTGTGCAAAAATCAGCATTGGGGAGATAAAAATTGGCTCGGTTTGGTGCTGGCGACTTACTCCCTCATGTGCCGTGCTGGCTTTCATAGGTGCTCGCTAACAGCACTTGTCCCAACAGTCTGTTACAGGCTTTATAATGAGTCTAAACAGATTTTTTTATGAAAGATAAACTTAAAATGTACTTGTTCAAAGTTGTTATTATCAAATACATCTGTAGGCAAGTGCTGTCAGCCAGTGTTTTTGCTTTTCAGCTGACGCTCATGCGGATGAATCGCGATGAACTTGCCCTAATCTGCACCCAATCGCATGTATTCAAAACATTTTTGGGCCAGATCTGTAATCGACCGGTTTTGTGGACCACCCGCATGTACTTGCACATACCTGACCTGATGAAGTAAGCTATTTCAGTCCATTAAAAAACGACTGCACACAAAGTCCCATTATATTACTTTCTTCTGTACTTTGGCTAAATACCACCTCTCATATGAACCTTGTGGTGGTACCCGGGGGTACCATAGTACCCCGGCTCTTGCATAATGTCCGTGATGCAGTCATTTTTAGTCTGTTGGTCGGCGATGCGGAAATCGACTCATCTCGACGAGCTGTACACGATACACTATGGTGCATACGAGCGTTCAGGGTTTCAGCGCAATCGTCCTCGCTGCGTTTCGACATCACGGAGTAGCACTGATTTCGGATTGGTACCCCAGTTGCAGAGTTAAGTACACCCCTAGAAAAAATAGTGTCCCTGAAATAAAATATTTAATTGCCCCGGCCATTTTGTATTATTTGTATTACCTCGGTGGTACCGCCATGAGGATCATATATCAGTTTGACTGTCGAGCGACATTTCTTAAATGTGCCCTCTGCTGTGTGTCCATATAAGAGCCTGAACATTGCCAACCCTAATGGGGACTGATTGGAAATATTCAGCAATTATACATGAAATTCCAATGCGAGGTTCACAATATTTGAGGATATGTAATGAGAAATACAAGAGGCTTTACTTGATGTACCACTCAAGACAAATTTATTGAGACTGAGTTTTCCCCAATTCTGGTATTGCGAGACGATCTTCCCATGATTTGTGCCGATTTTCTTCTACCTCAGGTAGCGGAAACCCTATTGGGGACACACATAGGCCAGGATGAGCTTGATCTCGTTATGGATGATGACGGGCTCGGGATGCAAGTTGTCCGGGAGACGGTGGGCCGCCGTCATTTCCCAGGCGTCCAAAATAACGACAGGCAACCCCGCCATGAGACGACGCATGATCTGGTCGAGCTGACGGTTGAGCCAATCGGACTGGTCGGGCGAGTGGTAGCTGGTGTTGGCCGACTTGAAGATGACCAGCGTGCCGGGGGCTCGATTCAGCAGGCGGACGACCGCGGCGCGAATGCCGCGCATGCGAGCGATGTAGAGAGACACTGGGAACCCCGTGAAGTGAGCCCATAAGCTGATCCCCACCACCGTGTCCTTTCCACCTAGGTTGTAGGACACAGACACGGACACGAGGACATGAGAACACGGACACACACACAGCAACGCAGACAGAAGGGCTTTTCCCAGATGTTTGTGTTCTTAGTGGAGTGGCTATTGTTGCCCTTGTTATTGAAGCGCGAGGTTGACTAATGAGCCTAAAAACCTCGTTTTCCAAATCGCTGGAATTTGCAGCTTGTCAGCCACCGCGTTAAAATATCACTGCATAGTTAGCATAGGTCACAGTGGTTTTGCCCATCTTGTACGGTTAAGCAACGACAGCCGCTTTGCAGTTCGGTTTTTCAGCTCTGCTCCATTTTATAGCGCAACCAAATGCAAATGTAGGTATTGTTAATTTTTACATTCAGAAGAACATGCTGCTACGAGGTAGTGTACTAGAATATTCGATTATTATAAACTATTCAGCTTTTCTGTTGGCTGTTGTAAGTCCCATTACTTATTCGCACAGAGAGAAATTCGCACAGACAAGCACACGGACGGGGACACACACGGGTAGAAGCTCGACAGTGACGACGGTGGAAGCTCTAGAGCCACCGGCTGGATCGGCTCAGATGTGTGGTGGAAAAGGGCCATAAAATGCCACGTCTAGTTGTGGGAGAGTGAGGAGCATGGGGGGCTGTCTCAGAGGGGCCTCCTGACCGGGGAGGCCGTCGATCTCGTTGGCCACGTAGTGGATGGCGGCCACGGGCCCGCGCTGTGTGAGGAAGGGGAGGCCCTGCGTGCGGTAAAGCAGGAACGACTTGGTAGCCACGCTCGCCGACATGAGTGGGCCCAGCAGCGTGGGCGCGTTGATGTCGATGAACTTCATGTCTGAGAAGGGCAGGCATGTCATATTTATTTTGCACAGCGCCGTTCACAGAAAACATGTACAATTAAAAACAATAGAACACCACACAATATCACTACTTTCACAAGACAATAAAATAATCAAAGGCCAGTAAATAAAAAGTAGTTTTGAGATTGAAAATACCAAGGGTATCCGAGTCTATGATAGCCTGAGATAATTCCACTGTCGTGGAGTGGAGGAACAATGGTCCGTCACCCAAGCAGAGAAGTTTTGTATTAGGGACCACCACCGTGCGAGTGCATAACAGGAAAGCAGATCTCTTGGGTACGATGAAGCCAAGTCACTCAGGGCCTTGTACGTTCGAAACATAATCTGTGGGACACTCGAGGACACCAAGCGATGGCAAATATAAAGCCACCCATCGATACAAACTTCTTTCTATTGTAGCAGAAAGATCTAAGCCAGCCAATAGCAATTTCCTAAAATACATCCATGGTTCTTCAGGCCATCTCAAAGAACGTCATAGTTAACAATATCAAATCAGTGCCGAGGTTCAAAAGACCAAAAATAGATAATGAACAAAAATCAGCAGCCATCAATAAATCATGAACAACCGTGCTGTACAGTAACCTGAAGCCTGCTTTGTAGAGGGTTAATGACCGCATTCGTCCCTGGATGGTGTTTCATTGAAATGCCACAATATGCTTCAATACTGTTTCTGGAAAAGGAGATTAGAAAGAGGCCAAAATAACACAGCTGGTCAGGGTCCACATTCTGTCTTCATCAATAGTTTGATCGTCGCTGTTTTAAAAGTGGTTTCAATTTTTAAGCCTAAATGGGCATTCATAGTGTTCGTCACAAATTGTATGTGAATAAACGAGGTAGAAGTATAAAAGGAACATTATCTAAGGAACATGTTGTGGGTATCATCATGGAGCAGCCTGTACAACTTGTTACTGAAACCCGGATAGATTTAGAAGTAGCATATGACAAGGCTGCAGTTTAGATGAAGTGAATGACTCATCCATAATAATTTTGTAAAAAGAAATCAGGTGTGTCATTATGGTACTCCGCTGATGTTACAGTGACTTCATTCCAATACTCTTTAACGCAACGTTAGTGTGGCGATCGCCGTGTTTGACCATTGCAGAAAAAGTATTTTCATTGAAGCTTCAAACTTGTGGGATAGCACGGCGTACAGCCTAGTTGGGCGTCTACTAGAGAAGAGCAGTCTGTTCTTGATTTGTTACATACCACAATACATTTTGCAAATCTCCAGTAACGATGGTACATCTCTAAACAAGGGTCCTCACGCCTGTGCTTGACGCCACGAGGACACGGATACGAGCCAGTGAGGAAGTCTGGGGCTGTCGACCAATCCTTGGAGGAGACAGTGGCGGGGGGGGGGGCAATCAGGAAGCCCAAGCTGCCCAGCTGTTTGCATGTTCACCACAATTACGTGTCGTTAATGCAGACAGGTTTCTTTGAATAAGGATTCTTTTTGGTGTTTTAACATCTTGAAACCTTTTTTTGCCAGAAAGGGTAAAACCTATTGTTATATTATGCAGGTAGGGAGTTCGTGCTGGAATACCCACGTGTGTGGCACTTGATCAGTGCTATACAATTGGCGTGTTCTCACTACTCAGGTGCCTTCTCATAATAAGGCTTTGTTAGCTGTATTAGCTTAGTTGTAGTGAGGCTACGTCGCGTGTGTGACCATTTCACTGCAGTAATTCATTTTAGGAAGCCGAGACGCACGCCGCATGTGCGGACTGTATAACACCAGTACTTAATATTTAGATATTGATATGCACGTCCAGGGTGGGTGCGATTGCAAGCCGCTTGAGAAGTGTAGAGAGGCTGGGTGGGCATGACTGCTACTGTTGCCAGAAGTTCGTGCCACCAACAGCCTCCAGGAGAACGTAATGGGGTATCGATACTTTCTAAGGAGGTTCCTGCTAGATTTAAATCTTTTGACAATTCCATTAATGAGCATGTGGCATTTGACATCAGAGTGGATCCCTGTCTTGTCTCCCACTCGTCTTTTCCACTGGCCTTGTGTAGCCGTCCCACCCTGTCCCTCTCCACCAATGAATCGTGACGAGGGGGACAGGTGGGATAAATAGAAACAAATAAGGTTCGGAGACGATGAGTAATTACTCTGCGTTGTGTTCTGTCCTCCAGAGAAGTGGGTCACACCACAACAGCTGAGCACCAGGGGTTTGTGAAACGGTAAATATTTATTTCAAAGTGTTCTTTCGAGGAGCGTGTGGATGCCTGAAATAATGACCAGACACTCCCCATCACTCTCCACGTCACACAATATCTCAGCTCAGTGACTCACCACAGAGTCCATCCCAAATCTAAATTGGGGACGTGTCCTGTGCTCCAAATAGTCGAGACCAGGGGTCGGGAACCTTTTTGACTGGGAGAGCCATAAAAGCCAAATATTTCTAAATATATTTCATTGAGAGCCATATAGTATTTTTAACGTATAATAAATTAAATGTCTTACTTTTAATGCGACTTCTGGTGCTGCATGGTTTTGCTGATGGCCTTGTAGTCTGGTTCATACGTGGTGAGGTTGAGCTTGATGCAGGCGTTGAGGCTTCCATCAGTTAAACGTGAGCGTAGGTTGGTCTTAATGTTCCTCATATGCGAGAATGACTGCTCACATGCATATGTAGAGCCAAACATGGTCAATATGGCAATACTCACACGCTGCATTGTGTGGTATGTCACAGGAAGCTCGTTCCAAGTTTTAAGAATCAGCTGGTCATTGGTTCTTTACCCTTCTATCTGGCAACAAAACTGACACCTTTTTGCAAGGAGTCATGTTTGCATAGACCGCAATACCTGCAGTCATAATACAAACAAAAGAACATAACTCTGATAATGTGCACTGTCCTTGAAGTTGATTGGTCCACACCCGAGACAGCTTTCCTTCGAGCCTAGTCTCATATGGGTTGGACCAGATGACGCGTGCGCCTTTTGGCGTCATCTGGTCCAACCCATATGAGACTAGGCTCGAAGGAAAGCTGTCTCGGGTGTGGACCAATCAACTTCAAGGACAGTGCACATTATCAGAGTTATGTTCTTTTGTTTGTATTATGACTGCAGGTATTGCGGTCTATGCAAACATGACTCCTTGCAAAAAGGTGTCAGTTTTGTTGCCAGATAGAAGGGTAAAGAACCAATTATCATATTTTTACTGGCAAATGAGGTCCCCATAGTAGTAATCAGCTGGTCTTCAGGTTGAATATTTTTCATTTCTGTCCACTTGTGTTCCCGCGCCAGCTCTGCTCGCTGTCGCGCAAGACTTTCCAACTCTCGATTAAGTGACTTGAACTTACTCATCCACATGTCTGATGCCTTCAGGTCAGCAACTTCCAGCTCAAAGTCTCCGATAGAGACCCCGGGGATGCATGTCAGGTCGACTTTGTCCACTGCACACTCATGTGGATGAGTGATGAACTTGAAAAGACCAGTGCGCGCACGAAATTCTCCAAAACGTGCTTTGAATGACTGCAGGAGATTGGACGTAAAGCCAGCTAGCTGCTGGAGATCCAGATGTTGAGTGGAGTCACTTGCTAAGCATGCATCTCTAAATTGTCGCAGTCTTTCAAAGTGCAGAAGACGACCTGTTTCAATGTCCCTGAGAAAGACTTCCAGCTTGCTTTCAAATGCAAACACTGCTTGTTGAAGGGATGAGATTGTATTTCCAATACCTTGCATTTTCACAATGAGCTGGTTCAGATGGCCAGTTATGTCCACGAGATAGTGAAACTGCAGGAGCCAGTCAGTGTTGTCTAGTTCAGGATGCTTGACGCCTTTCATTTCAAGAAAAGTCCGGATTTCACTCAGGCAAGCTGCAAAACGGCTGAGCACCTTCCCCCTTGACAACCAACGCACGTTGCTGTGTTAAAGCCGACCGGGATAATGATTCCCAACTTCTTCTAACAGAGCTTTAAACTGGCGATCATTTAAAGCTCGGGCAACAATAAAGTTGACCACTCGAATGACCAGCGACATCACCTCACCAGGCCTCCTGGTGCAGGATGCAATGAAACTTAGGATGGCTCTCTTTTCATGTTCACGGAGAAGCGCTACAAATCATTTGTTCTTCCCCAACATACAGGGTGCACCATCAGTACAGACAGAAATAAGTTTATCCATCGGTAGTTTTTTTTCTTTAGCAAACTCCATGAAAGACGTGAATAAATCCTCTCCTCTTGTTGTCCCTTTCATTGGCAAAACAGCCAAGCTTTCCTCACGCAGTGTGTAACCTGCAGCATACCTGGCAATTAAACTGAACTGAGATAGATGGCTAACGTCTGTTGACTCATCTAACGCGAGAGAAAAGTATGTCCCGGCGTTTATGTCCTTAATTTGTGTTTCCTCGACTTGATTTGCCATCATGATGCTACGATCGTGAACAGTTCTTGCTGACAGAGGCATGTCTTTTATTCGTTTGATTATCTTGTCTTTATTTGGGAAGTTATCAAACAGTTCATTGGCCACATCAATCATGAATGTTTTGGCATACTCGCCATCTGTGAATGGCTTTCCATTCTTTACTATTGCCAAAGCACCCGCAAAGCTAGCGGAATTCCCGTCACCTTGCTTGGTCCACACACGTAGTTGCTGCTGACTCGTCTGCACTCTCCGCTGTAGCTCTTCGCATGCCTTTTTCCTGCTGTCCCCCGCTGGATATTTCGATGCAAATGAAGCATGGTGCGTATCGAAGTGCCGCTTTATATTTGACCGTTTAATCGATGCAATTTTATCATTGCATATTAGATCCTGCTCTCTCCACAAATGCAAATTCCTCTGTCCACGCAGCCTGGAATGCACGGTAATCATCGTCTTTTTTTCTTTTCGCCATCTTTTCCGTTAGAAGGGTTGAAGCGGATAAACTAGTTGGCTATTTGATCAAATGGATGTCTTCACCTTTACAATGACCCGTGACATGCGAGCCATTGGTTCCCGACCCGACCCACGGGTCACGGGACCCGTGACCCGTGAAATTTATCTTCAAAACTAATTTCTGTTTACTTTAAAATGACACTATTATTAAGCAATATCACAAGTATTTTTAAATCAGTTCCAAACTGATTTATTTTTATTTATTTTTTCAACTCAAAATTGTCTGGGAGCCATATGCCGTCACCGGAAGAGCCATAAATGGCTCGCGAGCCATAGGTTCCCGACCACTGGTCTAGACACTGCTGGACGTGGCCTGCTGTGCACGTGAGGCTTTGGGTCCTGTCTCTGTTCATCATTGCCTTCAAATATAATTAAAAAAATGCACGAGGCGCTCCGTAGTAATTACAGCAACACGCAGCAGAGTATAGAATCATACGTGTGTAGAGACTCGAACGATAAACTACGAGGGGCCATGATGACGCCAAAAGGCACACAACTGCACTGTCTTTGAGTTGTGTGCCTTTTGGCGTCATCTGGTCCAACATCATGTGAGACTAGGCTCTAAGAAAAGCTTTTCGGGTGTTGACCAATCAATTTAAAGGACAGTGCATACATTATCAGAGTTGTGTTTTTTTTTGCATTCCGACCGCAGGTATTGTGGTCAATGCAAACATGACTCCTTGTAAAAAGAGGTGTCAGTTTTGTTGCCAGATAAAAGGGTAAAAAACCAATGATCATATTTTGCTACTGACAAAGGAGGTTCCAATGGTGTATACGAGGCGCCACTTTTTATTCATACAGAACAATCTAGGTGCGGGCTTCGTTGTTGATATTGAAGCGGCACTTTTCCTTGAACGTCCCCTCTCCTTGTGCTCTGCTCTTTTATATCTTTCCAGTGCCCTTTCTCGAATGTTCCCTCACTGTTTTTCCCGTAGCCAATCCCAATCCTCCTCTAACAGATCCAAAATGTTGCCTCTGGGTTCCACTCTTTTTCCGGCTTATTCTCATTCAAACCCTTTCTTTCAATCACTTCAAAAGCCTGCCTCCCGACCAATCCCTGTGGAGGCCTCTATCCGCCAATCGGAGACCTTAGTCTATATTTTGACTTTAAACTTTCGTGACTGCAGGAATTCATATTCTTGGTTCTTTCAGTAAAGTCACGTAGAGAAAAAAAAATTTTATCTAAAAATAAAAAAGTAAAAAAAAATAAAAAGTTATAAATGTAAAATAAGAAGAGCAAAAAACAAAAAACTCACAATAAAAATAGTAAAATAAAACTTACAAATTATAATAATAAATTGAAAATTATAAAAGCATAAAACTCCCGACGTTTAGATCGCAACACAAGCGGTCTTCATCAGGCGGAGAGAAAAGAGGGGGCAAGCCTCCGAATGCAACTGCTTATAAGGGTTTCCAAAGTGAGTGGGCGGGGGACGAGAGCTGCGCAAGCAGCACGGGCGGGGCAGCCAGTCAGCCAGCGAGAATGCAGGAGCAGAACAATGGGGGAGTTGGGAGGAGGAGAGCTTGTGCAGCTGGTCTATCTTTGAATAACCGTTAGGCTGCACATTGACTTTGGCTTATTTTCGGTCCATACACATGTGATTCAATACGGGTAAGCTCACACCAGCTAGATTTGCTTTCCCAAAAGCTAGATTCAAGTGCCTTGTTTTGGTCTGGCTCGTATCGAGAGGGTGCGATACTGGCTTGGCCCGGCAATACCAGTGGAAATGGGGTATTGAAGGCCACCGTTGATATAGATCATATAAAGCACTCTCAGCCGGTGGAACAATAGATGGTGATCTACACTATGGGGACCTCATTTGCCAGTAAAAATATGATAATTGGTTCTTTACCCTTCTATCTGGCAACAAAACTGACACCTTTTTGCAAGGAGTCATGTTTGCATAGACCGCAATACCTGCAGTCATAATACAAACAAAAGAACATAACTCTGATAATGTGCACTGTCCCTGAAGTTGATTGGTCCACACCCGAGACAGCTTTCCTTCGAGCCTAGTCTCATATGGGTTGGACCAGATGACGCCAAAAGGCGCACAACTCAAGGACAATGCATCATCAGAGTATGAGAGCTCGGGGCAAGCATCTACACTATGGGGACCTCATTTGCCAGTAAAAATATGATAATTGGTTCTTTACCCTTCTATCTGGCAACAAAACTGACACCTTTTTGCAAGGAGTCATGTTTGCATAGACCGCAATACCTGCAGTCATAATACAAACAAAAGAACATAACTCTGATAATGTGCACTGTCCCTGAAGTTGATTGGTCCACACCCGAGACAGCTTTCCTTCGAGCCTAGTCTCATATGGGTTGGACCAGATGACGCCAAAAGGCGCACAACTCAAGGACAATGCACCATCAGAGTATGAGAGCTCGGGGCAAGCATCTACACTATGGGGACCTCATTTGCCAGTAAAAATATGATAATTGGTTCTTTACCCTTCTATCTGGCAACAAAACTGACACCTTTTTGCAAGGAGTCATGTTTGCATAGACCGCAATACCTGCAGTCATAATACAAACAAAAGAACATAACTCTGATAATGTGCATATTTTTACTGGCAAATGAGGTCCCCATAGTGTAGATGCTTGCCCCGAGCTCTCATACTCTGATGGTGCATTGTCCTTGAGTTGTGCGCCTTTTGGCGTCATCTGGTCCAACCCATATGAGACTAGGCTCGAAGGAAAGCTGTCTCGGGTGTGGACCAATCAACTTCAGGGACAGTGCACATTATCAGAGTTATGTTCTTTTGTTTGTATTATGACTGCAGGTATTGCGGTCTATGCAAACATGACTCCTTGCAAAAAGGTGTCAGTTTTGTTGCCAGATAGAAGGGTAAAGAACCAATTATCATATTTTTACTGGCAAATGAGGTCCCCATAGTGTAGATGCTTGCCCCGAGCTCTCATACTCTGATGGTGCATTGTCCTTGAGTTGTGCGCCTTTTGGCGTAATCTGGTCCAACCCATATGAGACTAGGCTCGAAGGAAAGCTGTCTCGGGTGTGGACCAATCAACTTCAGGGACAGTGCACATTATCAGAGTTATGTTCTTTTGTTTGTATTGACTGCAGGTATTGCGGTCTATGCAAACATGACTCCTTGCAAAAAGGTGTCAGTTTTGTTGCCAGATAGAAGGGTAAAGAACCAATTATAACAATAGATGGTGAGTTCCATTTACCTGGCACGTTAGCGGTGAGGTGCAGGAACCACTGGCGAATGGTGGAGTCCCCGTACATGTAAAACCTCTTGCCGCTTAGGCAATTGGCCAGGTCTTGAAGGGCTGGGAAGGGCCGAGCCTTGCAGGACAGCGACACCCACTCATCGTTGAGGTAGAAGCCGCTCGGGGAGGGCACGGGGTGGCCCGGCACACATGGTCCAAGGGCATTTGCTAGGACGGACACGCATGCACATCCAATATCATGTCTACAATAAGTTAAGATAAATTATATCGTAGACAAACGTATGACAAACTTACGGAATTGTTACGATCTTACCATGATACCATCATTTACTTTTACATCCAATCTGTTTTCTTTTTCCATGTTTATGGTCATGTTAAAGTCTGCTGAATTTATGAGATTATCTTCAGAGCATTTTTTATACTCTGGCCACTCTAAACAGGGGTGGCCACACACGGGATCGGTGTAGCTCAGGTTGTGTGAGATGTGAAGTGTGAGTGCTCAGCACTTACTGAGGTTTTGCGATGATGGGGACGGCTGCACCTCAATCTGGCTTGGATCTCCAATGATTCTCACCTTGGATACGTTGCTGCATCACCCAGGAACAACGCACAGAAGAATGGGTAAATAATGGACCACACAGAAGGGAAGCCACATCAGCAGGTAAAATGCAAGCAAATAAATCACTGTGTAGTGAAGATTAGTCTTGTCTGTAAATGATAAAACCCATCACAGCAGGAGAACACAAAATAGTCGAAAACACTATGCACTCAAGATTGGGCTCGTCAGTAATGCAAACTCATTCTCTTCTCTACTAATGCTCTGAAGTCACCCAACAGTAATCGTCATTTTGATGCTACAACCAACGTGAATATGTAGGTGAGGATTGTCAAACAGGGGGGGGGGGGAATCCCAGCTCTTACTTGCTGAAGAACCGGTTCTCCTGCTTTGTGAGAATGTTTCTGTGTCCTCCGAGTGAGTGAAATCGCAGGGTGTCACAGGGCAATTTCCTGGGCTTCTTGCAGAACCACATGTGTCCCGTAGCCGCGTATCTGAACTCGCACATCTTGGACTTAATCATTAAGTGCGGCACCGCGTTGCACTCGGTGGCCTCGCCTCTCGCTCCTTCCTTCTCGAAGTAGCCGGTGAAGTAGATCTTGTTGGGCGCCGAGTCGCGCAGGCGGCTGACGATGTGCACGGCCTCACTGGAGTGAACCAGCTTGATGTCCACGAGGGCCTCGCCTGGCCACGGCAGCACGACGCTCGCCGTGTACGAGCCGTTGTCGTGGTCCAGCACCGAGCCGAATGCTCCCGCCCGGAGCGTGTCTGAGTAGACTTTGATGCGAAAGTAGTCTCCGCCGTGCCGCTTGTCCCTGCCGTGGTGGTCTCGGGCCTGCACGGTGAGGTGCAGCGTGTCACCCACCGTGAAGTTGCGTGTCCCACCCAGCAGCCGGTAGCTTGTGGCCGCGGGGCTGGTGGATGACTCAAAGTCGAAGGAGGGCGTGGCAGGCAGGCTTGGCCACCAGAGGAATTGTCGCAGGTCGTCCATCTCAATGTCGTGTGGCTCTGGAGTGGAGCTTCCGAGGCTTGGTTCAGGCCTTACTTGACGGGGAGGTTTATGTGAGGGAGGGAGGATGAGGGACACCTGGGGAGGTACAAAGAGGAAATTTATGACGTAGGATCATGCAGCCCAGAGGGGCAGGATGTCGGTGTCATGGTGTCAACTTCTGCTTGGGGGGTGGCGACACGTTTATGGCAACCTGTGATATACCGCATCCTAAAGACAATTCAATGTGGCAGGTGTGAAATAACCATTTCAAATCACCTTCAGGACTTACGGTGACTTCATGCATGAGTAAGCAGCGCTCAAATGGACGTCCCTGACCCTTTCGTTGATATCAACTCAGCATACTATGTTTCGATGATTTTCATATTAGTCTGTGGATTGATTGTATTATTTTGACTCATATTCCCAAGGGGGGTTCCCGATTCGTGGACATTATTACTCCTACGAGGCTAACTCGAACTTTTGGCCTCAGGCCTATCCCAACCAACTGAAGCTTCCGCCTGTGGCTTGTCTACCCCATACTCCACGTGTTTAATGGCAAAACGAGCCCCAGGCAATAAGTCTGAGGCCTCCTCTTCGCTTTCAAGAAGAGACCAGGAACCCTTCCTGGAGATGATGGTCTTGCCGAAGCTCGTACACCAGGAACATATTTCCTTCTGTGTAATGTTTCACATATGCGTTCTTTAAAAAAAGAGATGTTTTGTGCAACTTTTAAACTAGCAAAACACGTGGGGATTTCAGATTATTTTGCAGTGTAATACTGTACTGTACGCGCATATCACGTACCACAGAAAATCCCTTTCCTATCCAGCTGTTAGTTTTGAACGTATAAGATGTAAATTAATACATTAACACGAACAGCACCGCAGTGGACTTGCTTTTATAGCTTTATTTTGATGATTTCGAAAACGTTTGGTTTTTCCATGTTTGTTTGTTGAAGTACAGAGTTAGCCTGATAAGTTTAATCTAAATCGTCTCATGGTTGTTATTGTTTGAATTGCATCCCACTGGGATATTTGCACACAGCGTTGATATACGGTGTTTGTTCTGGAAGACTTTGCTGTTTTTTCCTGGATTTTTCTGTTTCGCGTAGTCACTTTAAGATGTTTGTTCTTTGTTCATGTTTTTGTTTGTTTCGGTTGCACCCGAGTCAAGAGCCGCATGGGTCACAGGGCTATCTAACCTATAAACGTCACTTTTTGTCTGTCCGTCTGTCCCTCTGCGTACGCTCGCTTTCGAGGGATTTGGCGCTCGGGCCGTGGGGTTTAGGAAGAAAAATTTTTGCAGGTGGGCACGCCCCCGGCCCCGCGGTGAACTTAGGCATTTCCGATTTTTCGTCCGTCGCCTTTACATCGGTCCGATTATCGATTTTGTGTGATTTATCTTTATTTATTTATTTACTATTGCCGACCGCCGCTGACCACGGCGGTTGCCCCTGGCAACGGCCAGCAACGCCGTCGCTGCGGGGTGGACGCCATTTTTATTCCCGTAAAAAATATGCACACGCATTAACACGCGACGCTGAGGTAAATACATCAAAGTTTCACTTCCCCCCCACCCCAATGTGTGCACTTACTATTATAGGGTCGGTAGATAATAAAATTATAGCGATTAGACAGTATTTTTGTAGCGCGGGGGGGGGGGGGGGGGTGGGGGTAGCGGTCCAGCCCCTAGCCTCGGCCGGGTGGGCGATCTAGGCGAGGCCGGAGGCTCTGTACGGTACTAGGCCTCGACACCCCACACGTGTCAGGCGAAGACTGTGTGCTATAAACTCGATATACCCAGCGTTGCCCGGGGGGAAAATACATTTAAAATCTTCTGAAAACTTTAAAACATTACATACCAATGAAAATACAACTGTGTAATTACTTTTAAACCCGACGCGCCAAGAATCGATTCTCTGAATCGCGCAAAGGAATCGATGGTTGTAGATTCATTTAGAATCGCCCTGTTCCCGTTTAAAATAAGTTGATTATAGAGTCGATATAAACTGCTACGAATGGGAAATATCCGGCGTTGACCGGGGCAAAAATATTATTAAAAACTTCTGAAAACTTTCAAACAAAACATACCAATGAAAATAAAACTCTGTAATTAAAAATGTAGCCCAAGCGCGAAAAGAAGCTATTCTTTGCAATCGTTGCGAAGGAATCAAGGGTTGTAGATTACTTTAGAATCGCCCTACTGTATTCCCTTTTTAACAAACTGCGTGTCGCAGACACACACATTCACACAAAACGGGAATAGGGTGAGTGGTGGTGGTGAGGGTAAGTGGTTAGGGTGAGTAGTGAGGGTGAGTGGTGAGGGTGAGTGGTGAAGGTGAGGGTGAGTGGTGATTGGTGAGGGTGTGATTGGTGAGGATGAGTGGTGAGTGGTCAGGGTGATGGTGAGTGGTGAGCGGTGAGGGTGAGTGGTTAGGGTGAGTGGTTAGGGTGAGTAGTGAGGGGGAGTGGTGAGCGTGAGTGGTGAGCGTGACTGCTGAGTGGTTAGGGTGAGTGGTGAGGGAGAGTGGTGAGGGAGAGTGGTGAGGGAGAGTGGTGAGGGAGAGTGGTGCGGGTGAGTGGTGAGGGTGAATGGTGAGGGTGAGTGGTGAGGGTGAGTAGTGAGCGGTAAGGGTGAGTGGTAAGTGGTGAGGGTGAGTGGTGATTGTTGAGGGTGTGATTGGTGAGGATGAGTGGTGAGTAGTGAGGGTGAGTGGTGAGGGTGAGTGGTGAGGGTGAGTGGTGAAGGTGAGTGGTGAGTGCTGAGGGTGAGTGGAGAGGGTGAGTGGTGAGGATGAGTGGTGAAGGTGAGTGGTTAAGGTGAGGGTGAGTGGTGAGGGAGAGTGGTGAGGGAGAGTGGTGGGGGTGAGGGTGAGGATGGTTGGTGATGGTGAGTGGTGAGCGTGAGTGGTGAGGGAAAGGGGTGAATGGTGAGGGTGAGTGGTGAGGGTGAGTAGTGGCGGTGAGGGTGAGTAGTAAGTGGTGAGGGTGAGTAGTGACGGTGATTAGTGAGTAGTGAGGGTGAGTGGTGAGGAGTGAGGAAGAGTGGTGAGGAAGAGTGGTGAGGGTGAGTGGTGAGCGTGAGTGGTGAGGGAGAGGGGTGAGCGTGAGTGGTGAGGGTGAGTGGTGAGGGTGAGTGGTGAGTGGTGAAAGTGAGTGTTGAGGGTGAGTGGTGGTGGCGAGGGTGAGTGGTGAGGATGAGTGGTGGTGGTGAGGGCGAGGATGATTGGTGAGGGTGAGCGTGAGTGTTGAGGGAGAAGGGTGAGTGGTGAGGGTGAGTGGTGAGCGTGAGTGGTGAGGTTGAGTGGTGAGGGTTAGTGGAGAGTGGTGAGTGGTGATTGGTCAGTGGTGATTGGTCAGGATGAATGGTGAGTAGTGAGGGTGAGGTTGAGTGGTGAGGTTGAGTGGTGAGGGTGATTGGTGAGGGTGTGATTGGTGAGGATGAGTGTTGAGTGGTCAAGGGTGAGGGTGAGTGGTGAGCGGTGAGGGTGAGTGAGGGTTAGTGAGGGTGAGTGGTTAGGGTGAGTAGTGAGGGTGAGTGGTGAGCGTGAGTGGTGAGCGTGAGTGGTGAGTGGTGAGGGTGAGTGGTGAGGGAGAGTGGTGAGGGAGAGTGGTGAGGGTGAGTGGTGAGGGTCAATGGTGAGGGTGAGTAGTGAGGGTTAGTAGTGAGTGTTGAGGGTGAGTGGTAAGTGGTGAGGGTGAGTGGTGATTGTTGAGGGTGTGATTGGTGAGGATGAGTGGTGAGTTGTGAGGGTGAGTGGTGAGGGTGAATCGTGAGGGTGAGTGGTGAGGGTGAGTGGCAGTTGTGAGTGGTGATTAGTGAGGGGTGAGTGGTGAGGGTGAGCGTGAGTGGTGAGTGGTGAGGGTGAGTGGTGAGGGTGAGTGGTGAGGGTGAGTGGTGATTGGTGACGGTGTGATTGGTGAGGATGAGTGGTGAGTGGTCAGGGTGAGTGGTGAGGGTGAGTGGTGAGCGGTGAGGGTGAGTGGTTGTTGTGAGGTTGAGTGGTGAGGGTGAGTGGTGAGGGTGAGTGGTGGTTGTGACGGTGAGTGGTGATTGGTGAGGGTGTGATTGGTGAGGATGAGTGGTGAGTGGTCAGGGTGAGGGTGAGTGGTGAGCGGTGAGGGTGAGTGGTTAGGGTGAGTAGTGAGGGTGAGTGGTGAGCGTGAGTGGTGAGCGTGACTGGTGAGTGGTGAGGGAGAGTGGTGAGGGAGAGTGGTGAGGGTGAGTGGTGAGGGTCAATGGTGAGGGTGAGTAGTGAGTGGTGAGTAGTGAGTGGTGAGGGTGAGTGGTAAGTGGTGAGGGTGAGTGGTGATTGTGGAGGGTGTGATTGGTGAAGATGAGTGCTGAGTTGTGAGGGTGAGTGGTGAGGGTGAATCGTGAGGGTGAGTGGTGAGGGTGAGTGGCAGTTGTGAGTGGTGATTAGCAGAGGTGTGGACTCGAGTCATGTGACTTGGACTCGAGTCAGACTCGAGTCATGAATTTGATGACTTCAGACTCGACTTGGACTTGCATAACAATGACTTTGTCCCACCTCTGGTGATTAGTGAGGGGTGAGTGGTGAGGGTGAGCGTGAGTGGTGAGTGGTGAGGGTGAGTGGTGAGGGTGAGTGGTGAGGGTGAGTGGTGATTGGTGAGGGTGTGATTGGTGAGGGTGTGATTGGTGAGGATGAGTGGTGAGTGGTCAGGGTGAGTGGTGAGGGTTAGTGGTGAGCGGTGAGGGTGAGTGGTTGTTGTGAGGGGTGAGGGTGAGTGGTGAGGGTGAGTGGCAGTTGTGAGTGGTGATGGGTGAGTGGTGAGTGGTGAGAGAGTGGTTAGTTTTGAGGATGAGTGGTGAGGGTGAGTGGTGAGGTTGAGTGGTGAGGGTTAGTGGAGAGTGGTGGGTGGTGATTGGTCAGTGGTGATTGGTCAGGATGAATGGTGAGTATTGAGGGTGAGGTTGAGTGGTGAGGTTGAGTGGTGAGGGTGAGTGGTGAGGGTGAGTCGTGGTTGTGACGGTGAGTGGTGAGTGATGAGGGTGCGTGGTGAGGGTGAGTGGTGAGGCTGAGTGGTGAGTGGTGAGGGAGAGTGGTGAGGGTGAGTGGTGATTGGTGAGGGTGTGATTGGTGAGGATGAGTGGTGAGTGGTCAGGGTGAGTGGTGAGGGTGAGTGGTGAGGGTGATTGGTGAGCGGTGAGGGTGAGTGGTTGTTGTGAGGGTGAGTGGTGAGGGTGAGTGGTGAGGGTGAGTGGCAGTTGTGAGTGGTGATGGGTGAGTGGTGAGCGGTGAGGGGTGAGTGGTGAGTGGTGAGGGTGAGTGGTGAGGGTGAGTGCTCAGTGGTGAGGGTGAGTGGTGAGAGAGTGGTTAGTTTTGAGGGTGAGTGGTGAGGGTGAGTGGTGAGGTTGAGTGGTGAGGGTTAGTGGAGAGTGGTGGGTGGTGATTGGTCAGTGGTGATTGTTCAGGATGAATGGTGAGTAGTGAGGGTGAGGTTGAGTAGTGAGGGTGAGTGGTGAGGGTGAGTCGTGGTTGTGACGGTGAGTGGTGAATGGTGAGGGTGAATGGTGAGAGTGAGTGGTGAGTGGTGAGGGAGAGTGGTGAGGGTGAGTGGTGATGGTGAGAGGTGAGTGGTGAGGGTGAGTGGTGACGAAGAGTGGTGAGGTTGAGTGGTGAGTAGTAAGGGTGAGTGGTGATGGTGAGGGTTAGTGGTGAGGTTGAGTGGTAAGGGTGAGTGGTGAGGGTTAGTGGTGAGGGTGAGTGGTCAGGGTGAGTGGTGAGGGTGATTGCTGAGGGTGAGTGGTGAGCGGTGAGGGTGAGTGGTTGTTGTGAGGGTGAGTGGTGAGGGTGAGTGGCAGTTGTGAGTGGTGATGGGTGAGTGGTGAGCGGTGAGGGGTGAGTGGTGAGTGGTGAGGGTGAGTGGTGAGGGTGAGTGCTGAGGGGTGAGGGTGAGTGGTGAGAGAGTGGTTAGTTTTGAGGGTGAGTGGTGAGGGTGAGTGGTGAGGTTGAGTGGTGAGGGTTAGTGGAGAGTGGTGGGTGGTAATTGGTCAGTGGTGATTGGTCAGGATGAATGGTGAGTAGTGAGGGTGAGGTTGAGTGGTGAGGGTGAGTAGTGAGGGTGAGTGGTGAGTGGTGAGGGTGAGTGGTGAGGCTGAATGGTCAGGGTGAATGGTGAGAGTGAGTGGTGAGGGTGAGTGGTGAGGGAGATTGGCGAGGGAGATTGGTGAGGGAGATTGGTGAGTTGTGAGGGTGAATGGTGAGGGTGAGTAGTGAGTGGGAGTGGTGAGTGGTGAGGATGAGTGGTGAGGGTGAGTTGTGAGTGGTGAGTGGTGAAACGTATTGTCAAAGCCCACCGGGCTTTGACAATATATCTGTGTATATATGTAACGTTATTAAGAAATATATTTTCACCCGGGCAACGCCGGGTACTTCTGCTAGTACCTAATAAAAGAAACTGACCTGAAACTGAAACGTGAAGGAATGACTCAAATGCACACGTTTTCTCATTGAAAATAGGTACATTTCAAAATATCAATGTCCTGGTTACAAAAGCAAAGTTTGTGGGGCATAATAGCCATTTTCTGTACTTTTGAGGGATAAACAATTAGGAAAAAACACTTACTACCCAGGAACAAAAAATAAATACATTTGTTACGAAGTATTATTAATAGAGTGGATGATTAACTTTGCTTTTGTGTCCTGGTCAAAAAGGCAAAGTTTGTGGGGAATAATAGCCATTTTCTGTACTTTTGAGGCATAAGCAATTAGGAAAGAACACGTACTACCCAAGAACAACAAAGTACTCATTTATGTTACACAGTGAATTATCAATCACCCTGACTCACAGCGAGATGTACCTGGGTTCGACACACGACTCGGGCGCCTCTCCGAGTGGAGTTTGTAAGTTCTCCCCCAGGTCTGCATGGGTTTACTCCGGTTCTCTGGTTTCCACACATTAATTAAAACTTAAAGTATACATCTTCTTGGTTCTTTCGGTAAAGTCACGTAGAAGGGAAATAATAAAATGTATACTGAAGTATCACCTGTAAATTACTGAACTGGGATTACACACGGCCAGAGTGGCGCCACGGTGGCTATGAGATGTTAACTCTCTCGCCTGGTATGAAGGAGGTCGTGGGTTCGATCCCAACCCTGACACCCGCTGCATGTTTGGGGTTTGCGTGTTTACTCTTCCCGTGCTAGCGTGGATTTTTCTCCGCATCCTCTGGTTTTCCCTTGCATATTAAGAATCAACATTACGTGTTTAGAGGATTTGGCTGCGATAAATTTCGACGTGATGAGCCACATCGTTGGGCTATCATTTGTGGACAAGTCGCTTCTGAAAAAGAGTTACATAGCTCAGTGGCCCTTACCCGGTAAAATAAAAAATAGTTTTACATCGCCCCGTACTGATAAATCTTGGCAGAACCCTCTTAACAAGAGTCTTGTGACTCAGGGCGACTTTCCTGGGTAAACGAGTGGAATAATAACGTGAGATAAGCATCGGTAATCGCAATAAATCGTGAACCACACAGGACTGGAGAGGGGTTAGGGGCGTAGTGATGATACAGAAAGGTGAGGTGGATGAGGAGGAGTAGGTGGAGTTCTCACGTTTATCACGAAGAAGACGAGGGCGCTGAGAGCGAGGAGCGAGATGAGAAGCCACGACCTGAAGATCCGAGATGGAGGAAGACTCTTCGAGTCCATCTTCATCATTCAGCCCCGAGGAGGGAGACGCGGGGACTGCCCGTGCTTCGTCGCAACCTCAATCACTCTCCTCCCCCTCCTCCTCCTCCCCCTCCTCCTCCCCCTCCTCCTCCTCCCCCTCCTCCTCCTCCCCCTCCTCCTCCTCCCCCTCCTCCTCCTCCCCCTCCTCCTCCTCCCCCTCCTCCTCCTCCCCCTCCTCCTCCTCCCCTCCTCCCCCTCCTCCTCCCCCTCCTCCTCCTCCCCCTCCTCCTCCTCCCCCTCCTCCTCCTCCTCCCCCCTCCTCCTCCTCCCCCTCCTCCTCCTCCCCCTCCTCCTCCCCCTCCCTCTGTCCCTACACCTGCTACTCCTCGTGCATCTGTGGGGGTCGCTAGCCCCCGAGATCCCTCCCGCCTGCATCCCCTATTCGTTTACGTTACCCCACCTCCCTATTACCCGCTACGGTTTCGCCGGCATTCGAACGCGACACCCCTACTATTTACAGCCTCGCGCCGCGCTCCCACGCTGCGAGCATACGTGCGCACATCATCGTCAATCAAACGCCGTGCTCGCAGTATAGCCCTGTGCGGCACGTTACCAATGCGCATCCGTATTATACACGTAGTGAACGTGCGCGCATACACGCATACAGCTCCACACGCGATACGCACTCTTGCGCCGCTCTGCGCAGCGCTCGCCGCCTGCTGGCCGCTTACGTTATGAGCGCGCACCTGGGGGACGCCGATTACGCACGCACGCCCACACACACGCCGCTCCGCGCACTCCAACTCAACTCACGTTATACTCGCGCACCTGTATCACACACGGAGTGAACACACGCGACACCCACTCTCGCACCGCTCTGCGCAGCGCTCCCCCGAGGCGAGCCGCAGCACCACAGAATCACTGCGTACCCACGCGCAACCCGCGCGCTCAGCTCCGCGCAGCGCTCACTCACGTGGCGAACCACTGTGCACACAGCGCACCCACACGCTCACACTGCACGACAAGATCACGCGAGACCACGCTTCGCTATTAATGATTTATTACCTGATAACTAATGTTGAATTAGTGAGTCGACGAGGCTGGCCTATTCCACTAAACCGGCACCTATTCCCTATTTATCGGCTATGATTCTAATTCACTTTCTTACTCACTGTTAAGTGTCCACGGCGGTCCGCTGATCCTTGTGTTAACCGCGTGCCTCGGTGCGTCGCACGGACGTCCGGGTCGCTGGCTCGAGCTGCGTCTGGTCGCCTGGCGCTGGAGTAAGAGAGCGATTTCCCCTCTGCGCTCCTCTATTTATCCTCCCTACCTCCAAAGGGGATGCTGCGCTGAACAATGGGCTCGTGCACCCCAAGCCCGCGCACGGCAGTCCCCAGGCGCTGTTGATATGCTAATCAGTGAGCGACGTTGGCGGCGTACATCCTAATTACTCCCTTACCCTTCCTAACAATGGGGCCTGCGCGCTCAAGCGCAATTATCCCAACCCCCCATGACTATGCGCAACAGCCCCTGTGACCCCGCTATTCATGCTGTCTCGTGCCTCCCCTGCTTGCCCCGTCGACTCGTGGGGGTGTGTGTGGGGGGAAATGCGCCTCAACCGCGGTGGCCGAATGCCCCACGCCGCGACCACACCATATTAAGGCCGGCAGCAGCGCCGCGGTACCACGTAGCACGGGGGAGGTCATCCAATTCCCTGATCGCCGGAAACCGTGAGAATTAATCCCGATAAGGGTCTCTCGGATAAAAACCGGTCAATCAGGTAACCTTCCCTTCCAGCTCTATGGGGGGGGGGGGGGGGGTGCGTGCGGGTGTGTGCTTATGTGGGGCGGGTGATGGGGGACAGTGCGGTGGGGGAAGCCGGGCGGCTCCCTGGCTTGGCAGAGCGGCCCCGTCGCTGTGGCACCACATAGCCCCCCGGGGTGCCAGTCCCCGTCCCGGGTTGACTTGAGCACCTCGCCTGGGTTGCCCCCACGAGGTATCGCCGCGGGGTCCGCGGGATTCGCCCGGCCCTTGTGGCTGGCCTCGGGGGTGGCGGCTCCGTCTCCTGGGGCTCCGGCGGTGGTCTCTTCCTCCATTCCAACAGCTCCCCTCGGCCTCTGGCACCTGCGGGCTGGGGAACAAACTCAGAAGCGGTGGGGTTTAAGGGTCGCCGTCCTCGTCGCCCCCGGCCCCGCCCGGGGCCCCTCGGAGCCCGGGGCTCCGTGGGGCCCATATACTGCGCGAGGCCCCCGGGCACGGGGGATGCGGGTACTCCGGGATTTTGGGGCCTTCGGGTGACGGGGTTCTCTCTCGCCGGGGCCGCTTTCCACGGTTTTAAGCGGCGGACATTGACCACCGTCTCTCGACCCCTCTCCCCGCCATCAATTAGTACCGTCCAGGGGGAGATCTGTCGCACCACGGTCCAGGGTCCCCGCCAGTAGGTCGTCAGTTTCCCCACCTGCCCGGCCCCGACGCGAGGGGTGTGTAGCCACACCTTAGCACCTGTCAGGAATAAGGGGGGTTCCATGCGGGGTCGGGTGCCCTGTTCCTGCCGCCGATGCGCGGCTGTTTCTTCTTGCGGGTATGCTCGGCCTCGGGCTTCTCGTAGGGTCTCCAACAGGTGTTCCACGGGGCGGCTTCCCTCCTCCGGCTGGGGGGAAGGGACGCCGAATAGCAGATCTGCGGGTAAACGAGACTCACGGCCGAACATCATTAAAAACGGGGTTTGTCCCGTCGACGTGTGTACGGTGGTGGCGTAGGCGAAAAGGGCGTAGGGGAGGTGTTCATCCCAATCCCGTTGATTTGCGGCCGCCATACGTTTGAGTTTCCCCGATAAGGTCTGATTCATGCGCTCCACCATCCCGTTCGCCTGGGGGTGGTACGCTGTGGTTCGGTCCTTCTGGATTCCGAACTCTCGGCACAGTGCCTGGAACAACTCGGCCTCGAACTCGCTACCCTGGTCGGTGAGGACTCGTTCTGGGATCCCGTGCTTAAGTACGTAGTGTTCCACAAATGCCCGGGCCACCACCAAGGCCGTTTTATCAGGGATGGCCACTGCCACGGGGTAGCGGGTGAAATACTCTACTGCGACTAGGATATATCGGTTGCCTCGATGGGATCGCGGGAATGGCCCCTGTAGGTCGATCCCGACCAGCTGATTCGTGCGGCTGACGCGGAACGGCCTTAGGGGTACCTGGTATCGTGCCGGTTTCGGCCCGCACTGCTGACAGGCGCGGCAGCCCTGTACCCAGGCCGCCACGTCTTGTGCCAATTTGGGCCAGAGATACTGGCGACGCAGGGTCTCTCGAGTACGTCGTTCCCCATCGTGGCCCCCGAGTGGGTGGTCATGCACCAGCCGTAGCAGCTGGGGTCGCACCTGGGCAGGAACACAGATGCACCCCGGCTGGCCGGCCTCGGTTAACTCCCGTACCACTCCGTTCCGCACACACAACCGGGCATACAAACCGCTCCAGGGTCCTGGTAGGGCGCTCTTTTCCTCCCGCAGTGCCGCCTCCACTGCCGCCAGATCCGGATCTCGCTGCTGGGTCTGTCTCAGCTGCTCGTCGTTTAGGCCCGGGAAGGCGCAGCCGACGTCCTCCTGGATCCGTCCAATCGGGTCCCGAGCCGCGGGTCCCGCGCTTGCCGGGCGGTCGACGGGATCCTCAGTGCCACCTGTGAGGGTTTCCGTGGCGCACACTGCACTCTCTCTCGCTGGGGGGGGGTCAGTGGCCGCGGCCTCTCGGGGGTCCGTTGCCTGCCGGCAGCGTCCCCCCGTGAAACACGGGCAGGCTTCCTCCGCCCTCGTCTCGGCGTACACCGTGGGTCGCCTCGACAAGGCGTCCGCGTTTGCATGCGTCCGGCCAGCCCGATACTCGATTTGCAGGTTGTACTCCTGCAACTGCGCCAACCACCGGGCCATCTGCCCCCGCGGCTCCTTGAATGTAAGAAGAAACTGCAGAGCATAATGGTCAGTGCGTACGCGACATCTCCTGCCGTACAAATACGGCCGGAACTGTTTGCATGCGAAAATCACGGCGTACAACTCTTGGCGGGTCACGCAATAGTTCAGCTCGGCCCCACTCAAGGTCCGGCTGGCGTACGCGATGACTCGTTCCGTCCCATCCTGTACCTGTGACAACACCGCGCCCAGCCCGCTGCTGCAGGCGTCGGTGTCCAAAATAAAATCGGTGGTAAAATCGGGGAAAGCGAGGGTGGGGGCGTGGGTGAGGTGGTCTTTGAGAGTGGTGAAGGCCGTCTGGCAGGCCCCCGTCCACTGATAGGGGTGCTTAGGGGAGGTGAGTTGGGTGAGGGGGCGTGCAATCTCGCTGAATCCCTTTACAAATCGACGATAATAGGTGGCGAGCCCCAAAAATGATCTGATCTCCGTCAGATTCCTTGGCCGTGGCCACTCCACTACGGCGCGTACCTTCTCCGGATCGGTGCGCACGCCTGCCTCGCTGACGCGATGCCCGAGGTACCCCACCTCGCGTTGTGCGATGTAACACTTACGTGGCTTGAGCTTGAGATGAGCCGCTCGCAGTCGCTGGAACACCTCTCGAAGCCTGGACCAATGCTCAGACAAAGATCTACTGAACACTATCACATCGTCCAAGTAAATCAGGCACTGTTCCCATTGCAAACCCCGCATCACCAACTCCATCAACCGCTGGAACGTCGCGGGCGCGTTAGTGAGTCCGAACGGCAACACTCGAAACTCAAACAGGCCCATCGGGGTGGTGAATGCTGTTTTTGGCCGATCCTCCTCCGTCATCTCCACCTGCCAGTAACCGGACGCCAGATCGAGGGTGGAAAAATACCGCGCTCCTGCGAGACTGTCGAAGGTGTCGTCGATGCGGGGTATGGGGAAGGCATCGCCGAGCGTGACTGCATTTAGTTTACGGTAATCGACGCAGAACCGGGTTGACCCATCCTTTTTCGTTACTAGTACCACTGGGGCTGACCAGGGGCTCGCCGAGGGCTGAATTATGTTATCGCGAAGCATGTCCCCAACTGCCTCTTTGATTTGGGCGCGTTCGGGTGCGCCCACTCGGTACGCAGGGAGCTTGATGGGTCGGGCTGCACCGGTGTCAAT